CACTCCAACTGGCCAGCTGGACCCCGCTCCACCTCCTCCCTAGGCAGCTGTGGCAGAGAGGATGGGCTGGACGCGTAGCAGGCGGCCAGAGCTTCTTGTGTTGGCCCCAAGCCTGTGACCACTGAAGTGCCTTCCTTACAGACAACGCCTCATAGGAAATGCCACGGATCATAAAAAGCAGAGAAAAACAAAAAGCCCAAACCAGAAAACAGGAGCCCCTTCTAAGCAAGCACCTGCCTGCCCCAGGTGCGTGGGTAATGGCTGCGAGCTGGGGGTGCAAGTCCAGCTGCAGCCCCCGCGTCGGGAGCTCCGGCGTTGCACGCTCAGGTGAAAACACGCTGTGATGGAAGACGCCGTGCCCAGGAGCAAGCTGGGCACAAGGGCGACTTCTCCCGGCAGCCAGAGCCGGGCAGGATCTGGAGCAGACGGTGTCTGATGGGGGCGGGGAAGAGTTTGGGGCTTGGAGGAGTTAAGGGAGCAGGCGGAGGCCAGTCGTGATGCCTGTCTTGACCTGCAGCCATCAGCAGGGCAGGTGCCCGAAGCCTGGTGGGCCCACGGGACAACCCAGGGTCAGTGGGCCCACCCCAAGCCACCTGCCTGGGGTGGCCCTGCCAAGGGAGGAGGCAGGGTGAGGACTGCCGTGCAGGCAGGGCTGGGAGTCTGGGGTGCCAGACCTGAGTCTCTGGGCCCCGTGAGAGCGGACACAGTCGGCAAGCTAGGATGCCGGCCACCCTGGAGCACGAGGGTCACTCGGGCTTTTCTGATGAGCTCAGCAGCATTCCTGAAAATGAGGAATTGGGCTGGAGGCTACTTTTTCTTTCCTTTGCTTTCCTCCCTACCCTAGCTCTGTCAAAAATCTAAAACTGCAAATGGCAAAGTTCAGGGGCCCAAGAGCATCCCGGCCACCTGTCCCCAGATGGGCCAGTTCCTGCCCATGTGGCCCGCTCGAGCCTGCAGGTGGGACCCCCCAACCTGGGGGACGGGAGCCTCCCCGTGGCAGTCTGCCCACTCCAAGAGGGTTGACGGTGTCTCCAAGGCAGAGTCCCCTGCAGGCTGCCGGGTGTGGGCTCAGGCGGGGCAGGTGGGGAGGGCTGGCCGGTGCGGGAGGCAGCGCTCACCTGGCAGGAGGCTGCACCTGAGGCTTCACCGGCCGGGGGCAGCGATCCCGGGAAGGGGAGTGGAGGCCGCCATGAGGGAAGCCCTGGGTGTCCGGAATGAGAGCTGGTGGCATCCACATAGGTTCTCCGTGAGCGGAAGGGGTCCTGAGCCTGGTGGGGGTGGCAGGGAGAGAGCCGCACCTGGAGTCAGGTGATCTCTGCAAATAAACCTCTCTGGCCACTCTCGGGCAGCTTGGATCTCCCGGATCATTCCGGCCCAGGTGTAAACCAGGATCATGAGAACAACAGCAAAGAGGAAAAGCAACATCTGTCTGGATTGGTCCCAACCTGCCACTGTAGGACACCTGCCTGACCCCTGACACCACCCTGCCCGACCCCTGACACCACCCTGCCCGCCACCCCCAGTTCTGGAGCCTGGAGAACACTCGCCATGGTTCTGGCCTTCTCCCAGAGTGTCTGTTTCGGTTTCCAAGAGCAGCTGCGGGGAGAGTTCATGGCCGAGGAGCCGCAGGCGCCGTGGCGCGGCCGGGCCAGGCAGAAGGCCCGGCGTCTGGGCAGAACGGAGATGGAGCTGTCACTCGGCGGCTCGTTTGCGGGGACAGCGCCAATCCGCACCATCTCTGTTTTACGAGTTATCCTGGCAGTGCCCAGGGCCAAATGCCCGCGCTGGGCTTTGAGGGGAATGAGTCGGCAAAGTCCCCCGATCACAAACGTCCATGTGTGGAGGAGGGGGCCGCTTGGCTGTTTCCATCTGCGGTCTTGAGCTGAGGTCAGGACAGGGAGAGCGTCTGGGCGAGGTGGGGGCTGGAAGCAGTTCGTCATCTAGCGTGGCCTGGGCAGCGCTGCACATTCACACACGCCTGGCACAAACTGTGCGTGGAAAGCCCGGCCCGGGCTCTGAGTTGACCAGGGAGACAGCGCTCACTCCCAGGCCCGCCGTCTCCCCGTCTCCCGCCCGTCCACGCGGGGCTGTGGGTCAGGGGCGGAGTCGGGCCGTACAGTGCCCAGCTGGTGCGACGCCTGCCTCAGTCCCGCCTCTGACGCCCGCTCCCTGTGCCCCACCCTGCATCCCTGCCCCAGGCCAGGGTCTGCTCCCTCCCCGGCAGGTGCCACCGCCAAGTAACAGCCTTAGCAGGTAGGGACAGCGGGAGGGGACTAGTCACGAGGGCGGAGCCCCCGTGAATAGAACCGGTGTCTCCATAAAGAGACCCCCGAGGGCTGCTCGCCCTTCTCTGCCTCATGGGAGGCACCGTCTGGGAGGAAGGGCCCTCGCCAGACACCGGCTCTGCCGGCACCGTGATCCGAGACTTCTGGACCCCGGGACTGTGAGAATAGGAGCCCCGGCCAGGGTAAGCGGCCGTAGCAGCCCAGGACACCGTTCCCACGTCCACGTGCTTCCGTCCCCTTCCCAGCCCCGCTGTGCAGACGCCAGCGCCTGGCCCGTCTCGGGAGCTCGGCAAAATTTGCGAAATGAACGGCTGGATGAGTCACTGGGAGATGTTGCCCGAGTCTCGGCGGATGTCCGTTTAGGGGTTAGGAGGAGCCACGCGCGGTGGGGCTGTCACGTCTGAGCTGTTCTGCGCGTGTCTGCGTGACTCCCGCACGCAGGGCCGTGCTCTGTCTGGACGCAGCGGGTCAGACCTGCCCTGAGGGCACAGCGCAGCCGCAGGTCCCCGGCAGGTCTCACTCCCCATTTCTGAGCCGCTCCCCGTGCCTGGACGGCCACGGAGTCCCCGCCTCGCCTGCCCGGGGCTCCGCCAGTTCAGTCCACGGCTTTTCCTTTCCCCTCGCTCTGGCCCCGGGTCCCCCCGGCACTCCCGGCCGCCACCCTCCGGTTCCCTGAACTTACCTGGCACCTGTGATGTCAATAATGCTTCCCATCAGCATGTCCCTGCTCCAGCCCCAGGGTGGATTCTACTGTCGGATTGGAGCCCGACCGACCCACGGTTGGCACTGGCCCCTCCGGAGCTGGCTGCCTCAGCACAGCCTGGGCACTTCCAACGCCACCGGGTCGCGGCCAGGTGGGAGGGCGGCTCGCGCCAGAAACAGCCCGACCCTGAGCAACGGCCCTGGGACCTGCACAAGCCGCCGGCACAGAAGCTGACGTGTGGAGGGTACCCGTGCTGGGACGGGGCGCACCCTGCTGCGGGGTGAATCCCACCTTGCCAACTGCATTCTAGCGTGAGAGGCAGAACGGTCTCAGGAACCAGCAAGCGGGGAAAGTCGGGAAGCGACGGTGAAATACAAAGAAGGAGGCGCAAGCACGCGGCGCGGCAGAGAGGCAGAGAAGGCCCAGGGTGTGCTCAGAGCCTCCAGCCGCGCTCACGGCAAGGAAACAGCAAATGCTGAGAAACCACTCAGGAAGGACGTCCCTATGTACAAAACGCATCCACCTACGTTTGATGAGGCGCACCTCATACCTGGGGTAATTAACCCAAAACTGCCAGGAATGAGAGACTCTACCATTGTCATCTGAAGGATAGAAATAATATCCAAAATGGATTAAAACATCAATTATGGGTGGTGGCTCACGCCTGTAATCCCAGCACTCTGGGAGGCCGAGGTGGGAGGATCCCTTGAGGCTAGGAGTTTGAGACCAGCCTGAGCAACAGCGAGACCCCGTCTCTACTAGAAATAGAAAAATTAACTGGGCGTGGTGGTGTGGGCCTGTAGTCCCAGCTACTTGGGAGGCCGAAGCAGGAGGATCGTTGGAGCCCAGGGGTGTGGGGTTGCTGTAAGCCAGGCTGACACTACCCAGGGCCACAGAGCGAGACTCTGTCTATAAATAAATAAATAAATAAGAACTAACAAGCAGAAGGCGGGTGAGGAGGCTGCGCCGCTGTTTGCCAGGAACAAAGGACTTCCACCCAAACAGACCCCACAAATCTGAAATACATAAACAGGCGGCCGACAAGTTAAAGAACACAACCAGCTAAGGTTTTACCAAACGTTGCTCTACCCGGTACTCGTGAGCGTGCTGAAAAGTCCGACTTCGTGTGGGTGGTGCTTATGCAGCCCTTATGTGCAGGTTTTTTTCCCCTAAATCTTTCAAAACTGGGTGTCTTCTGTTGAAACACAATTTTGCTGCTTACGATGGTGATGGAAGTCTTAGGCACAAAACCACGCTGGTTTAAAATATTTATTGATTAAAAAAAATTTAAAATTTTTTATACAAAGATGATGAGAAAAATCTCATGCAAACTCTGGGCATACAATAAAAATAACTCAAATATTAATATGATGATTTTGTACAAAATAATTCTTTTGTAAGTAGGACCTGTGGGGGCCCGTGCGGCTCCGCTCCCCAGGCCCGGACGCCCTCTGGGAGGAAGGAGCCACCACCCCAGCAACTGCAGGTGATCGGGGGCCACGCGGGGATGCTCACGGCTGTCACTATGAGGATGATGAAACCCTATTGCTACCACTCAGAAAACGAGACCAGACCTAGGGACTGAGTTAGGAATTCCTGGAGGAATGAAGTAATTCACAGATGTTTCCAGAAAGGTTTTAGGTAATCACCTTACGTGATGAAACGCCTTGAGACTGTCACAGACGGTTCCTGTTTCTGCTTAGTTACAAACCTGCAGTGGATTTATAATTTGTGTATATTACAAGTAATTTGCATAATTAAAACAATTAAGGGATCGACGTATCATAGCAATTAGAAATGCATCAAACTCTGGACGTTGTACAAAAAAGAGCTTCAATATGAAACAATAATCCTCTGAGAATCGAAACCCGCAGCGGCCCCGCCTCCCCGGGCAGTGCAGAGCCCGCCCGCCCCGCGCCCACCCTGCGTTGCCCGCCTCTGTCTGCGCCGTGTGACCCCTCGTCCCGGCACCCCCTGTTCCCTCCCCGGGGTCTTATTGCATTTTCACAAACTCATCTCATTTTCCGTAGCCTCAGTCTGTTTTCCTTGTCCCGTTTCTTCAGAATAAGTATGAATTG